GCAAAAAAGAAAAGATGTTTGAAAATATCCATGCAAAAGTGAACACAGGATTAATGGGGGTTTTGGGAAAGGAGAGAAAGCAATGCAATTTGACCAATACCAATGTAAAAGTTTTCAAAACATTCCCATAGGAAAATTAATCTGTCACATTACATATTGTCTTTAGGATCTAAAATATCTATAAAACCCCCTCTGTAAAACAAGTCTTGGTGAAAAGCAAGGTAAAGCCTCGTTTATACCCATGCAACCATAATGACCATAACAGGTTTTGCTAACATGTCTGCAAAGGGAAAACCCTTATGCTTCAGGGTTTCCTCATAGATCAGGAAGTGACCTCATTCTTTTGGACTGTCCCTTATAGCTTCTCCCTTGGAAGGATTCTGCCAATTTGAACTGTAGAGATCTTTGAAGAAGCTACAGATCTGTGTAGCATATATTCCTCCAAATAAATGATTTCTCAGTCATCTAGGTATAAACTGTAAGTCACATCCTACCTCCATCTTTCTTAGCTCATTTAACTGGGTACTGAATAATTCTTGTGAAGAAGCTGATGGATAGATATTATACAGTTTAATGTAGACATAATGATTAAAGAGGATAGAATTCAGTTAACGTTTTGAAGGCATTTAGAATGCATCCACAGTTGAGGTGGATCAGCCATTAACATCTAACATTCCCTCACTATCACCTAAAATCACTGCCATCATGAAAATGACCTTCCCTGTGAGGTGCGCATTCAGTCACAAAGAGGCTCAAATGGAGTTTGTCAGAATAGCCCTGACCAAAGCTTCTATGGAAAAACCTATCAAACATCTAGTTGATCCAGGCAGTCTGATTTGCTAAGCAGCCAGCAACAGTGGGCTGGAAAGCTGACCATAACCAGGAATGCTGACAGTCAGTCTGCTGCAAGTGAGCCTCCTGAAGAAAGCTCTATTTTCCACTGTTGTGACAAGTCTTTCACAAAAGCATTACTTCTACACTTTCTAAGGATAGGCTAGTCCAGAGGTGTCAAATTCAGTGGGGCCAGATAAGTGTCGCAGGGCCAGTCTGTGGGTCACATCAGGCTTCCCTGGAGTCAGTACACAAGGGCAGTTCCAGCAGGGCATTGCACACAGCACAAGGCCCACAATGGCCCCATGCACTATGTGTGGTACACATAGTCAATCCAACTCCATGCACCATGATGCAAGCCCCAGTCCAGGGTTCACTCTGCACATGGCACCAAGGACCAAGCATAGGGCACCCTACCAGGCTGGCCCTGTCTGCTGGCTCAGATCAGGCCCCAGGCTGTCTATGCTTACCAGAGCCCATGCAGCGCATGCTCTGTACTGGCCCCATGCACCACCTGCAGAACAAGACCTGGAGGGAGCAGGGCCATACCAGCCATGTATGGTACAGGGAGCTGGCACAGGGCATGCAAAGCCCTGTGGCTAGCTCTGGTGCAGGCCAATCTGGACTGGCCCCAGAGCCAGCACACAAAATTGGTTCAGCATGGGCATCATATGGTGCACACACGTGCAAGTGCTCATGCTGCTTAACAGCAACAAGCTCTCTATAACCCAATACCTGCAACTACATCCAGCTACAAAGAGTAACCAGATGGTTTCTGCTACAAACCATAAATGAAAAAAAAGAGTTATTTACAACAACATTTCAAACATTGCCTGCAGCCTGTATGTTTGATGATCCTCGGGTAGTCAAAGAGAAATGAGCCACCATTAAAACACTGTTTCTTTATTTCTGTTTTCCACATTTCAGGGCCTACTTCCACAGCATTGTTTTCTGCTGCAATAAACTATTTTTTCAAAACAGCAAAACAGAAGGCAAAATACACTAGGGCTCACACACCTAGCTCCTAAAATCCACATCCTAAAATCAACACCATCATCAAGACTCAAATTTAATTTGACTGCCCATCTTTAGATGCAGGTTAATTGCTTTGACGACCATGCTTTAAGGGCCAGGCAATTTTTGGCATTTCTGCTCATGCCCCCTACAGGGAAAACAAACCAACTGCCATTCTGTTTGTGACCTCTTTTTTAAGCTGTTCAGAAAGCTATCAGAAGTGGCACTTCTCAAGGTATTATTACATGGGTCAGGAACTTAGTATTCACATAGACAAGCTTTTTATCTCTAGGCAACTTCGTGAATGGAGGAACCAAATGTTCCTTGTTCACTGAAAATGCATGACATGGAGTAAGTTGGATTCATAGGATTGTACAGCTGGAAGGGACCTCAAAAGACTGGGTCCAGCCCCCTGCACCAGGCAGAACAGACAACTGCCTGGAGATTTTGACAGGTAGATCAGGGACAGAAAGGTGTCAATTTTTACACCATTAAAGCAGTTAAGATATTTGATATGGGGAGGGGAAAATCTCCCTCTTCCATACAACCGAGGAAGAAACTAAATTTGAAGGGACAAGTTTTTCGTTCCCCCCCCCCCTTTTTTTTTAAACCCAAGCTCTCCATAGCACTCCATCCCAACACCTGCAACAGAAAACTTTCAGCTAGGAGTGCACTGATATATCAGTTGGCTATTGGATTGACAACAATAAAAAGAGAAATAACGTTATTGGCTACTGGCTTTTTTGGGACATTCTAGCCAATAATTATGGCTGTGTGCCTGGAGCACCTTGGTGAGCGTAGTCCAGTCCCCATGCCCCACCACAGGC